AATAAGATCATTACTGTAAAATAATAATATGTATATAATATCTATAATTGAATTTATATTGGTATAAATAATATTTAAAGAATTAAATAATAAGATAATTAATGGAAAGCCTTTCGTTGTTAAATAATAGAAAAATATTGCTAAACAATTTTGATGTACTAATTTTCCAAATTTTTGTTTAGTAACTTTAGGAATAGTCAATATTAAATTAATTATAATGAATAACACAAATTTGAATACAATTTAAAGAATTTAAGGGTGATTTAAATTATAGCATCAAAGATGAAGTAAAGTGATAAAGTCTGAAAATATTAAAAAGAATTATATCTGCTGATAATTTTGAAAGTGGTCTATATCACGTAAGTTCCTTTTCGAAATATTTAAAGTGTCACGCTTTAAATACATTATTATACATTATAATTTTTATAACTATAGTTCCAATTATATTATACTTTTTAATTTATAATATATTACAATTCCTCACCATTTTACCAAAAATAAATTTACCTTATTGTAATCTAAATTAACTCATTAACTGCCAAATTTCTTTTTTTGAAATTTTTGGCCTGATAAGTTATATATATGCACAAAAGATTGTGCAACAGTATAATTATATTCAAATTATGTTTTGTTTTGAAAATATTTGATATTTTTGAAAAAGTCCCAAAATGAGTATCGTTATAAAATGATCAATAAAATCATTTCAATAAAGAACAAAAGATCAAGTAAGTAACAAATCGTTACTGTAACCTCTAAATTACATATTTATGTACGGTATTTCATTATAATATAAAAACCAAACCAAAAATATAATGCTTCGATTATGACAATTCTGTTCCGTTCAACTTACACACGAATTTCAAATTTGTTCGCTTGTTGTGTAGTAACGAAGTACAGAATACACACTTTTTGCTACATACAATATTGACTGATATATATAGAATAAAACTAAACTGTCAGGCATACCAAATATATTTTTGGCGCCGAGTGGTGTACATAAAATTCCGAAATCCCCAAATGAGGATCGTGGTAGCTAATGGATTAATGCAGCCAAAAATAAACGACGAAGTCGTTTATTTTCAGTTGTTGACCTAGACTACTTTCATAATTACCAGCACACGCATATAACATAATGAGATCTATGCAATGTTTCATTACCCCACGCAAGGGATAATTCGATCCATAATTCTCCAACAACCCCTCAGTCTGCGCACCATTGTCGGACATGAAGACTATGATGGAATTTTGCAACATGTTCGCCTGTCTCAACGCATGCACGACTCTGCCTACGGACTCGTCCATGGCAGTAACCACGCCTAAAAACAGATGAACGTAAGTTGCAACAACATAATTGGCAAAGTGCAATGAGCAAAGTGAATGCTAGTACTCAATGCAATTGCTCCCATAGGTGTACCTGCGAACTTTCTCCTATTGAAGTCTTTGATATAGCCTAAGGTTGCGTTTACTTCTTTCATATCGCGAACCTCCATCACCTCGTTGGAATCGCTGGCGTGAACAGCAAGATGAGACAATTGCAGATAAAGGGGTTTGCTCGGATCGTGATTCGAAATTATATCCTCTGCCCTTTCTGTTATAAGATCAGTCATATACTCGTAGTTGTACTTCACGGACAAATTGCCTGGCACGTCGTAATGCAAATCGTATCCAACTTGCGACTGTAAACAAATTTCGATTTTACTGATTGTGAGACTCATGTCTCTCATTGTTTTACTATGAACCTGATTTTGGTAAGCTTAGGACTAAGTCGGTAACAGATAATGTTAAAAGGACTATAATAATTAGAGTTGAACATATTTTTCTAGACATGCTTAGATATTTTTGGACACTTTTTATAGTGTTCTTCTTTGCAAATTTTTGGAGACAAATTAGCATAGAATTATGTTGATGTAATTATGAAATGATTAAAATTTTTGATTCCCTTGTTTCACAAAACTTACGTTCTGCTCGATGGTGTGATTGAAATACGTGATGTAACCATTATAATAACCCAAGAAGGTGTCGAAACCACGATTGGTCGGTGTATGGTAATCACTATAATAGCCAACGTGCCACTTTCCGACAAGATGAGTAGAGTATCCCAACTTTTGTAGGTACTCTGGGAGAAGAGTATTGTTCAGGGGTATACCACGTGGTTCACCTGCCTTCAACGGATAACCTTGCATACCTGTCGTGGAAAAATGTGAATGTGTATATTACATAAAGGAATTTCTGCAATTATCGCATGTACGCAAAGCAACTTATTTGATGATAATTAAACCGAGAAAAAGGTAAGTATTTAAATTTACGTATATTCTCTTTTGCAAATGTGTCCCAAATTTTATTTCGAGGATTATTTGTGAATATTATTCGCGAACGACGTTATAGTGTTCTTAATATATATTGCTTAATATATATTTAATTAAATAATCACGCAATAAATTAATTACGTAATTAGATCGGAATTGTACTTTTGAGGAGTAAATTATTAACAAAATTGACATTGATTAATTAAAATCCAAGTTCAAATAAATTGATAATAAATTGATATCTAAATTAAAAATATTAATATTCTATAAAATTATACAATATAATACTTTATATTATATCATTTATCATATAAATGATATTAATATTATATTAAACCTCATATTACATAAAACAATTATTAATTATACAATTATTATTATAATTATTATTTCCAAATTAATTAATTGTGATTTGTGTCAATTTAAAAATACCGCCAATGGGCAACAAGAAAAGGAAAATTTTATAATCGAAGAAACAATTAAGCATATACGTTTATAAATATAATCCTTCCCGTTGTTTACAATATATAATACAAATCATTCTCACTGTCTTTCTCATATTGCAATACCTTTTTTACAATAGGCTCTATACAATGGTCGATGAATTATATCTCGAAACAGGATGCTAGATTGCGAACGAATCATGGCTGATAAAATACCAGCAATCTCGAATACCCAAGTATCGAATCCCATAAATCGTATTAAAGTAGTACATACCTGCTCGAATAGGATAACGGCCGGTAAGGAAGGCTGTCCTCGATGGCGTGCATATCGGTAAAACGTAATGTCGCTGCAATATCACGCCGTTGTAAGCCAGGGCGTCTATGTTTGGCGTGGGTATTTGATCGGCACCGTGAAAACTCACGTCGTTCCAACCCTTGATGAGAAATTCCAAGAATTCATTTATACCGTAGATTTGCATAATCAGTAAACTATTACATTTGAACAAGACTGTAGCCAATACCGATTACTAGAGAGATTTGCATACCCAACGTCATTTGTACTTAACATTGAACCTACCACGGTCAAATGACCCATAAATGAGGAAGCAGTAGAATCTTGAAAAATATAAAATAATTAAAAACACTGAAAGATTGATTACGTGTATATTGAAAGAAAAATTGCGAAAACGAGTGGCCAAGCTGATAAGGTTCAATGAGGAATTTTAAATGGCAGTTTTAAAAATGGTTATTAGGCCATGGTAGGTTTAGTGATAAACAAAATTCGAGAGAATCTTTGTTTTTCAATTTATTTATTATTGTTATTTTATGGATAAAGGAAAAAGTAAAGAACACCACCGTTTAGTGTCAGTTTAATTCTCACGATGAGGCCATGGGTTCTGTTATTTTCGATGATACTCTAATTGTAAATAAAGAGGTTATGTAAGTAATTTCAGAATAGATGGTTATAAATACGGTGAATAATGTAAGTTCATAAAAGGAAATTCCCTTCTTCTATTTAAAGTGTGTAAAATTTATTTCTTCCCAGGAATTGTAAGCATATTTCATGAGGACCAACCTGAATTGTAGGTTATGTTAGACAGAGAGATAATATATCTATACAGTCATTATAATGAAAGAATAATTAAAATTGATAATTAAAAATTAGTAAATGAACAATTATTTGTAACTATTAAACAATTTAACTTTATAATGCACAGAAATGAGTAAACCAATGTTTACGATATACAGGGTGTCGCAACTAAATCATATCAGCTAAATATCTACCTAATCTTTTGCTGTACGAAAAAATTTTCCTGAACAAAATTACGTTATTTTTTGGACTGCATATATTCAAGAATAGAATTCCTTTCTCAAAATTATTTTTTGGGTGGAGGGATTTCAAGGTGATCAATATTTTTTTAAATGATCATAATAACTCTGTAATACAACACCATAACGTTTCAATTATATAATGTATATCGATACTTAGGTGTGTACTATACAATGATTTAAATTTTTCTATATTGTTATAATAGATTATTCGAGTATAATATGCAATTGCAGAAATTGCATATGCATCTTACGTATTGCTTATATTTTTAATGGGAATATCTTTACAAAAATACACGTACAAAATGAAACTAATAAGAGAACGTATACTCTCGTTAGTATTTTACGAATTTGTCAATATCAAATTGCACCTAAAATCTTTCTACCAGTTGCTAGTTACCTGAGCATGGCAAATGTCAAATGCCTGACTCAATAACTTGAAAATTCAGGTCTGATTTCTAAGGCGCAATAGTCACGATAGAGTGAACATTCACTATTGTTTTCCCCACTCTTCATTTTATAAATTACCAATATCTTATTAAAAACTTTCCAGCTTTTTATTTGCATATGAAGATCGTTGAAAAATGCTTAACGAAACAAAAACGAGAATTTCTATGGAATATCTGATAGTGAGCTTCGTAATATTACGACGTTTCTTAAAATGAAACCACGCTTAATGTCCTCCATTGTTATAGGTTCGCGAAACGTTTCCAAGTACAAGAAACAGCGTAGAACGAATTAATTTGTGTCAAGTTTACTCTGATCTTATTCGTATTCAAGAACGAACCGAAAGCATGCATATCGAATTGATATATTCCAGGCTCGCTTATGCTACTTCTCTAAATTGCAATTCAGTATATGCAATGTAAACATTCACTTATTAATAGCCGATATAAAATGCGACAGAGGAAAGCATGATCGTTTCTTAATTTAATTTTCAATCAAACGATACAACATTGTCTATGAGAAAGAATATTAATTAATTTACAAATAATTTCCGATATTTAATATTACTTGCTATTAAAAATTACCATGCAACAGAGGAAAGCATTGTTGTTTCTAAATTTAATTTTCAATCAAACGAGACATCATTGTCGATGAGAAAGAATATTAATTAATTTACAAATAATTTCCGATATTTAATACTATTTACTGTTAAAAATTACTATTGCTCTATGCAGGAAAAAAGATTATGTTTTTAATGTTTTTCATTAAAACCTTCTTAAAACATACGTGCATATATTAACTAGATTTTGGGACCGAAATTACAACTGATTAGAATTTTTAATTTGGCTTAATTAATAAAATTTAATGATTATAAACGTATTTGTTAATTAATTAGCAAAAGAAATGGGATATAATTTATGCACATATTTTTATTATTTTATTAATAATACAGATTAATTTTATAACATATTTACTCTTGTCAGTTACAACTAAGTATACCTCGTAATTGATTATAGAATATTTTAATAAATAAATAAATATAAAATGTAAAATAAATAAATCAATTTTAATATTGACTATAGAATATTTTATAATAATATAATAAGTTTTATTTAGTAAACTATTTGACTAGCTGAAAAATACTTATAATTTTTATCTTTCAGAACCATAATTAAAATTTCACCATTGGATAGTAAAATATTACTACTAACTTATAATTTAGATGATTTAAATTCAGCTAATATTATTCGATACGATAATTTATACTATAATAACAATTTGCAGAATATTCAATTTTAAACAGAAATATAGGGTAAAGATAATACTGATATCTTATGTAAACAGAGCCACAAAAATGATTTATCGCGAAGTTGTAAAATAAACATATGACATAAATTAAACATGCTAATATACTTGCATTTCCAAATGTCAACCACGCATACTGATACGAATCTGACATCAAAACAACATCGACTTAATTCCAGACCAAATATTTCTCACAGTTCGTGCCTAATTTACTTCGCTCATATACCACAGACTTTTATAATCCATTTATTAGAAATAAACACTTTTGTACCATATTAATCCAACAACAATACCATTATCTTACCTTTTATTTCTCATTTTTGCTGTAATTCCTCAACGAATCGTATACGAACACTCTTAATAATATCAAAAACTGTGCACACAGAACCTAGAGAACACCTCGTATATTTTGACAAGATAATCCATCAACCACCATATCCTCTGGACCAAATTTGCCCGGTTACGTGGCCATTGAACACGAATCAATCACAACCAATATTTTAACATGGAAGCGAATATACTAATCTATTCACAATAATAAATACAATCAAATAAACCAAACTCCTTTATCCCTAACAAAATATCCTTCCTTAGCATATGTTCCTTTATCGAACACTTTTCTTAACCCTTTGCACTCGAGGGGCACCCTTCAGTCGCCATTTGTAAAATTTCAAAGATCGATACTCGTTAATATGTCAAATTTAAGATAATGTAACGGTTTTCGAGGTATCGAAATGAAATAATTCTATGTGTTAATTATTATACGAATTTCTATTTACTGTTCCAAAAAATATCGTCAGCTTTATAGCAGAAAATCTTTGAACTGCTGCTCTTCTTGAGCCAAAAAATCGTCGAGTGCATAGGGTTAATTTCACACCATAAGCAATGCACGTTCTTGAATTAATAGCCGCTGTTTTTTGGTACCCTGTACAAGCAGGTACCCTGTATAAGAGAAGAGAAAAAGAGACACAGTAATCTTACAAGGTCGTCCGCCATAATAACGATTATATTCGGCTGCCGGTGGCCAGGTTGCTTCTGCTGCAACAGCGTAGCGTACAGGCATCCCGAGAGAAGAATGAGGGACAGTAGGAGAAAGATGACACGCCACGATATTAACTTCGACATGTTTCTGCTTTTTCACTCGCGCTGGTCACGACGGTTATTCCATTTGAACGGCTTCGATTACGCGGGTACACTAGCGAGCGTTTTTACGAGCCTCCTCGTTAGGGCCCCGAGCCGAGTCCACTGGCCGTGCGAAAATCGACGATTCACATGATACGATCGATTCGTTTATCGAGAAAGGAACGTACGTGTGTACACGCGGCGTAATAATTGCACGTTACGGAGATAGGATCGCACGTGATGGTAATTTAGGTACGTTGCCTAAGATAAGGATCGACCCACTCGACGACCACGATTTAGCATTGGGGTCCCTACTATACCGTTCTACCTATGATATGCTGGCTTTATACCACCAGCGGAGAAAGTATTTTCCGGGACGCTACGCTCTGACTATTATTACTTGACTGACCGCGCGATCGTTGAATGTCGACTATATCGCAACTATCGAAAGCACGTGCTCGCTTCTCCAGTGAAACCCAGTAGATCCCGTTCCGCCGTGGTTGCAAACAAATGCACTGTTTCAGTAATCCCCTGATAACGAAGCGGCGCTAGGTTTCTGTGTACGGATTTATGCCTGACGGAAAAAATTTTCCCGATGATACGATAAGGCAACATTCGAGTAACCTGCTGCAAGGATCGAATAGATATTTAGAGTATAGCGATATATACATGGTAGAAATGGAAAACTGAGAACCACATGGCGAGGTTTTGAATTGGTGCAACGGGACAGGTATAGTGAAAATAGGTGTGAGCATGTGATTGCGAGAAATTAGATTTATGCTTAATATTTGTGTTTGATCATTTTTGTAATTAAATAAATAATTGTTCTTATTGTTATTGATATCTACCACTAACAGATACGCGTTACTACTTGCCAAATGCAAAATACGGTTATACAGTTACCACTTATTATTTTTGAAAATCAAGATACAACGGACCTACTAATGATTCTATATGCAAAAATGAGGTGAAAAGAAAATTATATTTTATCATTCGAGGCTTGGTTTTCGAGAAAATGAAATTGAAGATCTGCCAGGTACTCGAGCAACAATATTTTGATCTCGTATGGCAGAATATTATTAATTTTATAATATTAATTAATATTATTGATTATAATATTAATAATAATATTATTATAAT